TTCCGATTCTTCCCTCCCTTACCCTTGTTCTTCGGCATCTCGAACTCTTGTTTGTGTTTGTGCTTGTTGTTGAGGACGATGTGTTTGCGTGAATGTCAAACCCTAATAATGGCAGCCTATTGATTGTGATTCTCTCTCTCTCTCTCTCTCTCTCTGTTCTTAAAGGCCTTTTCTGATTTCTATTGATTTCTCTCTCTGTACCTTTTGTAGGGCAAAGTTGGCGTGGAGGTCACGGCTCAAGGGGGGACTATTTCCTCGGCCAGATGACGGTTTTGCCCTTTCCAAGTAAGGACTTTCTTTCTTTCTTTCTTTGTTTTTTTTAATTAATTATCACTTTTGCACGATTTGAAATATAAAGTGCGTTCAGAATTTATTTTAAAATAATTTTAATTTTTATATAAAAATAAAAATGAAAACGTTTTCAATTTTAGACATAAATTATTTTTAAAAATGTGTTTAGTAGTTTTATCAAGAGATTATTTTCAATATAAAAAATCTATTAATGTCTTTATTTCTCTCTCTTTGCTCAAGATAGGAGAAAATGAAAACAAAAAATGAAAAACGGTTAAAAGTCATTTTTCATTTCTCTCTCATTTTACAGTAAATCAAAAAATCGTTTTCATTTCTGTTTTTTATCTTTATTACGCCAAACATCATTTTAAAAACGTTTTTATTTTTTCTTTCTCGAAAAATGTAAAAAATAAAAACGGGATCAATTCTAAATATGGCCACAAATTCTCTCTCTCCCTTTAATTCTTTTTCTCTTGCTCGGTATATGCGCCATCGATTATATAGGAGAAAGAGATTCATGGTGTTTTTTAAGAGCCTATTTAGTTCGCTGATTTGAGTTTTTAATTCGAGTTAATATGTGATTTTATGTGAGAATTTTTTACTGTAACAAAAAAGTTAGATGTAATAGTTTCTGAGAGTTTTTTACTGTAACAAAATTTAAATTCTAAACTTGAATCGGTGAACTGGACGGGGCCTAAAATTTATTAGTAGCTTCTCTAGTAGGTTAATTTTATCGGTAGTGTCTATTTTTTATCAGTTGTTATTCAAAATATACATAATAAACAGTTTCTGATACTCAATTGACGACTGAAAATTAAAAACTGTTGATAATTAAGTTATTCTAATCCCACCGTAGAAGTTCTCATACTTTTTTTATTAACAAAAAAAAGAAACTTTTTTTTTAAGTAAAATAGAAAGTTTTAAAATTTATTTTTTTAAGTTTTAAAAAAATATTATTTACCATAAATGCTGATAAAAGTAATAATATTTGAAGCTGATAAACAAATAATAATATTTGAAAGGAAAAAAATTTGTTTATATATTTTTTTTGTTAGACTTGGTTGTAGTCTCTATTTTATAAATGACTGAACTTCCCTCACGTGTCATCGTTACCGACTAAAAGACTAGTTATTTCTCTTATTTTGAGTCGTAATAGTTATTATTTTGAGAACTAAAAATTATTTTTAAGCATATGACAATACACAACTGTCATGTACAGCTATTATGAATAATCATATAAAAAACATTAAAAGACAATGACTGCCGTTTTGAAAATGCCATGATTACCCTTTCCAATTTACATTAAATGTTACTTTAGATATGATTCAACTAAAAAGTTAAATAAAAAAAGTTATGCTCAAATAAATATAAATACTTTAATTATTTTAAGAGTTTTTCATTTTTTAAGATTGATTTTATTTAACATTTTGGTTTAATAATGTTTTAAATTGTATTTAATAAACTTTTGGGAAGATAATCTTGGTTTTTAAAAAATTTAATTGCTTTAGGAGTTGTTTTGGGTCTATTTTTATAAAACAGTAATGTTTTGGGTATTTACATAATAAGAGGGACATAAATGGTATTTTAACAAAACATATGGTGTATTTTGGGTATTATCCCAATAAACAATATAAAATATAGATAAATGAACTAAGTAAATAAATTAGCACTCAAATTATTTACATTAAGCGTAAAAGTACAAATTTGAGTTACGTGGGTCAACTCGAATTCGACACAGAAATTGAAGTCGATAAGAACACGATTTAAATTGCCACCCTTAAAATTAACACACTAAGGCCTCATTCATTTCGTTAGTTCGAATCATAACTCAAGTTTTTATTACAGTATTTTCTCTCATAAAAATTTAAATTTAATTTTTTTTGTTAGTGTTTTTTTTACATAAATTTATTTTTTAACTTAAGTTTTTAACTCGAACGAATAAAAAAAATAGGGCTTAAAAGTATCTGAAGACAGTTAGTTAATCTCTACATTCTAAGGAGAGGCTTGAAAACATTTGGTCCGTTTCCTCTCCCCCATTATTTCAAATTTTTTTTTTTTAACTTTTTTTTCTCTTTTCTTTTTGTCCTCTTATCTTTTTCTATTTGCCTATTTTGATTTTTTTCCTTTAATTTTCTCTCATTTTTCTATTTCTTGGGTTGCTTCCCCTCAAATACCTTATCTATTTTAATGCCTACTTTTTTTTTTTTTTTTTCCTTAGTTTGTTTTTCTTACAATGTTTTGTACGCTTCTCTCCCCAAATTCAATGTAGAAAACGTTTTTCACGTTTTACGTTTTCTTTTTTTTTTTTTTGCTTTCTTTTATTATTTTTCTCTACTTTTAAGTTTCGTCCGTTTTTTCTCTCCCCATTTATTATTTTATTTGTTTTTTTTCCCTTTTTTTGATCTTTTCTTTTTTGTCCTCCTTTCTTTTTATCGCATCTTTTGATCTATCTTTTTTTTTTCTTCTCACTTTTCTATTTATTGGGTCGCAGTTGTACGTTTCTTCCCTCAAATTTAACGCATGAAGCATTTTTTTTTTATGTTTTATATTTTTTTGGTTTCTTTTATTCTTTTTCATTATTTTGTGTTTTTTATCCTCTAATCCTGTTTATTTATATCTTTTGATTTTTTTTATGTTTAGCTTTTTTTTAGTTAATTTTTTGTTTTCCTTTGTTTTTTTTCCATGTCGTGTTGTGTATCCTCCCATCTTTTTTATTTATAAAATATTTCTTTTCACTTATTATTTCGTTGGGTTGCTTTTCCCTTTTTTCCTTTTTTACCGTTTTTGTCTTGTTTCCTTTTTTTTTCCTTTCTTTCTTTTTCCTCTTCTTTTTTTTCCCTAGCAATTTGTATAAATATTATTTTAAAAATAATTCATAAAACCATTATTTAAAAAAAATGTCGGGTGCAGGACGCGCCTATGAACTAGTAGGAGAAAATATTATTGTCGTGTTTAGAATTATTATTATTTTTATTTTTCACGTTTTTAAAAATGATTTTAAAATGACATTTGACACAATTAAAAATAAAAAAAGAAAATAAAAATAATTTTTTAATTTAGTGTAAAATGAGAAAAAAATGAAATATGACTTTTAGTTATTTTTCATTTTTTGTTTTCGTTTTCTCCTTTCTCGAGCAGAGAGAGAGGGAGACGTTAATGGATTTTTTTATATTGAAAATAATTTCTTGATAAAACTAACAAATGCATTTTCAAAAATGATTTTTATATGAGATTGAAAACGTTTTCATTTTTATTTTCATACAAAAAATAAAATCATTTAAACGCATCCTATAAACCTTTTAAAAGTTCAACGAATGGTTCACCATAAGCAAAAACAAGTACACCAATTGTATGTTGCAGCGAAAAGAAAGTATACCAATTTCATCGTCATGCAAGGGAGACATACGCTGAAACGTTGAGGGGAGAGGGATTCATGTGCTATCTTTGACACTCATGAATCTACTTAGGACCAAATCTACCATCTATGTTTAGTAGAAAGGTTTGAGCCCTGTTTAAAGTTTTGTTATAGAATTTTCTGTCATAAAAATTTATATTTAAAAGGTTCTGCTACAATAATTTCTCTAATAAAAATTTCTAAAATTTGAACTCTGATCGGTTTGAACCCGTTAACCAAACAAGCAGTGCCTTATCCCAGCAAATACTTTGCCGAATAAAAAAACAAAAACTTCTGTTCTAGGTTTCTCGAACGAAGAGGGAGGGAAGTATTTGGCCTCTAAAATGCCATCAACGGGTCCAGTTCCTTTAAGATTCTCCAAGCTTGACGGAAGTCATGGATCTATTAACGCGTTTCAAAGTTTTGGAGACCTAAACCACCAGTTGTTTTCTGGCTTGTGTGGTGGAAAGTGCTGTGCTTCCGTCTTTAGACAATGAATTTTCTTGTTCGAATTTGAAACACCACGCCAGAAATTTGTGATAAGTGACTCCGACAACCTCAACACACACAACACAATAAGGCGACCTGAATAACCTCTTTGATTAGCACCTCTTGCCCGCCATTAGAAAGAACATAGTTGAAAGAAAAATACCCCCAGCAAACACAGCTTTAACGAAAAAAGAGGATTCCGTTAAAAAATAGACTGGCATTCGACAGAAAGGTTTCAATTGCTCCTTATTTAACGGATTTGGGAAGTGTTTTGTCAAAATTAAAAACATAGAGAACTGTCACAGGGACCAACTGTGTGTGTGTATATATATATATATATATATGAATTGTCTCCGGTCAGACACTTGAAAAGTGCCTGACCCGGAACGACAGTTGTATATTTTTACATAAATCGTATATATTTATATGTAAATCGTGTATATTTACATGTAAAATTGTGTATGTTAAGTTATAAGAAATGATAATGTATATTAATTTTTAAAACATGTATTTTTTATAACAATTAGTGAACACAACATGAAAATATGTATATTATTTGATTTATTGTATTTCATGTTAAATATACACGAATTATATGTAAATATACATAATTTACATGTAAATATATACAATTTATATAGAAATATACAACTGCTGTGTCTAACCAGAAACCTTACCTCTATATATATATATATAAACCGGATGCCTTACTCCTAATACAATGCATTAGCTCAAAAGAAGTAATTTTGTATTTCATGTTAAATATACACAACCGGATGCCTTACTCCTAATACAATGCATTAGCTCAAAAGAAGTAATTTTGTATTTCATGTTAAATATACACAATTTACATTTAAATATATACAATTTATATATAAATATACAACTGCCTATCTAACCAAAAACCTTACATATATATATATATATATATATGTAAACACCGGATTCCAAGAACCGGATGCCTTACTCCTAATACAATGCATTAGCTCAAAAGAAGTAATTTTTTGATACAACACGGAATTGAACTCACAACACCCACTTAAAGACCATCCCAACCCAAAGCCCCCAGTGCCACCAGACCAAGAGATCATAGGCAGCTTTAAAATAAGTAATCACATTAGAAGTAATTATTCTTCCCAAACAAAAGCACATCACCTGTTAGAGATTAAACACGGAAGATCAATTTTCAATCCATGAGCAATTATCATAGTCACAACGTTGCACAAAGTAGTAGGCTGTCTCTACCTCTGGAATAAGAATCCATAGGAAATTCATGATATGCCTTAACAGTTAATCTCTAATAAACCGAGCCAAATTAGTATCAAGCATGATATACGGTAATTTGAATTGTTGAGTACAACTAATGAGAATAACTAAACATAACATAAACATTTCTAATCAGCCAAGCTTTGAAGTGCATAGTTTTCTCATTATTACAGTTTAACATACTTCCTAAATGGACGAGGATGGTAAACGACAAGCACATAAATAAAATAAACAAAATGGTTAGGGCTATGCAGTAGTGATCAGTCAATGCTTAATGGTAAGCTCTGCTCTGAGATGGAGTACACCATTGATGAAGTAGGGACTTTCCTCAGCCATAAAGTTTGTCCACAGCAATTGAAATAGGTTTCTGTAACCAACAGCCTTCCCTCCGGTAAATGTGTAATTGCCTTTGTATTTGCTAACAAACTCCTCTGCCGGCTTTGATCTTGCAGCGAATTCATAATCCACAGCGAACGTGACTGACCCTTTTTCCTGCATTCCCAAAAAGAGACCGAAACAATGGAAGGAACCCTGTTGGTCCATGTTGCAATGTGCCGAGAGGAAGAACCCTTGACCACCCAAGTGGAATGCCTGAGAATAAACTCTCCCAGAAGGATATAGATTTGCACACTCCTCGCGCTTGAGGTCCAAGTAAACAACACATTGCTGTCTGGGGAGTTCAAACTCGACAACCTTAACAGGACGATACTTGTAAGCCCGCTCCACAAAATGACGGTTCATGGTAGCAGAGTCTTCCGAAGCCAACGCACGCTGCCGATGTGGAACTTCGGCTTTGAAAAAGAGGGCTTCAAGAACAAGCTTCGATGCAATTTCATGGTCGAAATCATTGCAAGTTAAGACCTTCTTTAGTTTTCGACAAGTCATGTAAGGAAACCGAATGTATCGTGCAAGTCGGGAACCCAAGACTTCTCTCCGTTCCTCTAGTTTTGGGTATTGAGCCCTAGACCACTTCAACACAAAGTCATATACAGCATCCTCTGATGCAATTTGGAGATCATCACTAGCCAATATTGCTTCTATTCCAGCCAGCGGTAAGGCCATCACCTCTTCTTGAAACCTGAATAAAAAAATTGAATAAGCTTTCACCCCACTGAAGAAAAAAAATAAAGTCCACAAAAATGAAACTTACTTAGTAATGTCCCTGTAGCGGGCAGCAAGATACTGCTTTGCTGCATCAGTCAACGACTGAACCGCTTCTGCCATCAAGACACTTGAAGGAAGCTCAAGATAAAGCAATGCAGAGTCAGGTGTCATAGGCATATTCCGTAATAGACGGCTGCAATGTCTCATGCACGACGCTACTTCAAATTTGTCAGCTGCCATCAGCACATCCAGCAAACCAGGAGCTGAGGTAGTAGATAATGTATTACTGTACATAAAGTTCAGTAGCTCCATGAGTGCAACTTCCTCTGCAGTAGGAAAAGGAAACACAACGATCCAAGGACAAATCACCAGGAACAACAATGAGTTCATAGTTGCAATAAAGTCAAATTAGTAGGCACTATTAAAGACATGGAATAAGCCAAATTCAGTTCATGAGTAGTACCAGATGCATTGATTCGTAGAGTTACATGCCGCTGCTCCGACTCCCTCATCCCATTGGAAAAAAGCTAAAACATTATAAGACAAACATAAGGAAAACCATTTAGTGCACCAAAAAAAAAAAGTAATAACCTTTTACATTCCAATAATGACTGTACCTTGTAGAAAAATGGACTTTTGGCTGCTAAAATAGGAGAGCTAATGTGCAATGTCTTAACTCTCACAACTGTTGAGCAATCCATGCTCCAATCTGACTCATTGCTGTTTGCAGCTTCATCGCCTATTAAAGACATATGCAGGCGAAGTTAGAATTCTACCACATAATGCAACATTAATCTAAGAACTGCATAATACACACCATTTACAAGATAAATTATTCTTGCCACAATATAAGCATACCCCCCATATATGTAACAAAGGAAAAGAATATTACAGATTGTTACAACACCTGAAGGTGATTCTTCAACCATAGCTTCAACTTCCTCCTCTTGATTTTCACAGCCCTCCAAATCATCCATGTCTGGCTGGTTGCAACTCAAGATTTGTTCCTCCGGGCAACCAGTTAGATCCACGACTGGACAAAAAAAATACAAACTAGCGTCATCGAGAAAGCAGACTAAATAATTATTGAAATGCACCAAATGGGGAGAAAAAGCATCCATGAGAATAAACAATCCTGACTTATGCAAATCAAATAAATAAAGTTCCTACACAATCAAGTAATGAGAAACATTTTCCATCAGAAAAGAAATAATTAGAAACATTGGCGTTTTTCTCCAGACAATTTACCCATAAATAAAGGCAAAATACTAATATTAATTCCTCACAAAAAAAAAATTCATGTTTAAAAAAAAACCCTGAGAAAGAAAAAAAAAACATTGGTGTTAGCATATCATATCTCTCACGGCATTACTTCTAAACAAAATGGAGGTAAAAGGCGAACGAAAGAACACTACTTGATCTTAATTCTTAAATCAATCATTTTTACCAATTTCTAAGGTTTAAGCTTTAATGAATCCTCACAAACAATCTTCTCTTCCCATCCCCATATAGGGACCTTTCTTAAACTAAAATCGAACCTCCATCTCCTCTTCCTCTTGTTCAAAATACAATATTTTGGTTTCCATTTCCTTATTATTTCGCCCTAAATTGTCATATTTTCCACATCTACGGCCAAACTCAGCAACACAAAAAAATCGCCTTTACCAATCACCACGCCATACTCAAAACCCTAACACGCCATCCCAAAAATTTTCCGAGAAACCAAACAAAACAGTGACAAAACTTTAAAGCTAGAAACAAAAGAAACCAAGAAACACAAACCGTTTTCCTTCTTGAAATCCTCTCTCCTCCTCTTGCGGTGGCGAGCCCAATCGGCGATGGTGGCGCAGGTGTCGGAATCGGGCCTGGCATCGGAAGCGTCGCCCATGATCTCGATCCTAAGCTGGCGGTCGGAGAAGTTGCTATCGTTGAAAGCGAAGCCGAAATCGGCGTCCGACGACGACGAAGCGCTCCGGGAGAAGTCGGGATCCATCACCGTCCTCAGGTCGAACAGATCCGAATTCAAATCCCTCATCGTCTCAGACCTCGAAAGAAGGAAAAAAAAACAACCCAGCTAGGGCTTAGGAAGAAGAAAAGAAAGAGGAAAAATCCCAAATCCCAAATTCCAAGCCCTAATCGGCCGGTGAGAGGATAGAAGAGAAGAAAGATGGATTTTGCAAGGGAAAAAGCCTCTGGGACTTTTTTGTATTGGTGACTACAAAAAGGCAAATTTTATTTATTTATTTATTCTTTTGAGAAAGGGTCATTAAGAGCAATAAATACGAGGGATTTGGGGATGAGAAAATGAGATATTCAACAGAAACTTTAACAGCCCTGCCCCCGCTCAAGGCTTAAAAATAGTTTTATTCATTTTTCTTCTCTTTTCTTTTTTTTTTTAAACAAAATGAGTCATTTTTTTTATTTAGGAGTACGTTTAGTTAAAAGATTCATTTTCTGATTCAAATTATAGTTCATAATTTATTATAATATTTTTTTTTATAAAAAATATACGTAAATTAAAATAATTTTAATCTCATAATTTTAATTTATAAACTAAACGTCTCTTAAATTTCTAAATTTGTAACAGTACATTTAATAATTTTATAAAAGTCTGTGTTTTACTATAGAGTATTCGTTTTTTATCCCATCATAATTTTTCATATTTTATTGTGAAATTGTGATGATGATTCTTTCTTCTTCTTTTTTTCCCCTTATGTTTGGTGTATCTAATTTGGATTTTGTGACAATTTTAATTTAATTTTATGAGGTCGCAAAAAACCATATTGGAGAAATGAAATTTGCAGATATTATTGACTGTTCTTAATAAGGTCAATTTTGACGGGTATTGGATTGGCCATGATGACCTTTTTTTTTCCCCACTCTTTTTCCTTTTTCTTTTCCTCCTCTTTCTTTTTTGGATTTGTTTATTTAATTATTTTCCTTGTTAATAATTAACGTGAATGGTAGGTCTGATTTTGTTTTATTGTCTGTTGCATTTGTAAAGCAGTTAAGGAAATGGTGGTGATCGGTGAGTTTGGGATTTCGGTTTGTAACTTTTGTAATTTGCAGTTTGCACAGCTATAGATTTACTTTAAATTAAGGCTTTTGTTTGATGAATGTGGATTTCGTTAGTTTGAAAATAATTAATAGAAAAGTAATAGTCAAAATACATAAAAAAACTATTTTTTAAGAATATTTTTTTTAAAAAGAAAATGTATAGTCCTTAATCATTGAAAAAAAAATACAAACTTGATACATCAATGCATAACCACACGGTAGGGGTGCATATTTGTCAGTTTTTATCAGTTCAGTGACCAAACTGAAGTTTTAGTTTTGCAAATAACTGGAATCAAAACCGTTCAATGGGGTATAAAACTGAACATCAACCGGACCGCCATACTCGGTCGGTTTGGTTCGGTTTTGGCGGTTAACCGAAAGACTTTTAAGCATTTTTACAATATTTTTTAAAGTATTTTAAGTATTTTTTTACAATATTAGTAGTAGATAGAATATTACTTTTAAGTATTTTTATAGTATTTTAATCGTAAGACTAGTAGATAGAGTTTATTTTTAAGTTTTTTTACACTATTTTTAAAAATATTTTTTAGGGCAATTTATATTTTTGGTTCGGTTAACCAACCAAAATCTAAAACATGAAACCGAAACTGAACTAAGATTCTAAGTCTCGGCTCGGTTAACCAACCACCACCGTTCAGTCGTGATGTGGAACCTTCTTCTTTGGTCGGTTGTTGTTGGTCCCGCCCGGTTTATTTTTTTTTTTTTTTTTTTGTACAGCCCTACCACACGGCCTACTAAAACACGGGATTGACAACATCATGTTACACATGTACAATACATGCAAATGTAAATACTTGGGGAGAACAGTACCACAAACGGAAGTCATCGGAAGAGAGCGCATCAAAAATTAAGCATACACATAGTTCTTTTACAGGTTCTTTATAAAAGGATGAAAGTATCTACTAATGGATATGGAAAATCCCATAATTACAAGGCAACAAAAACAAAATTCAAAGAAACAAATCCATTGGACGAAAAACACGGTCAAATGCTAAACAATTAATACAAACATACAAACTTATCGGGAGTAAGAATAGTTAGTACAAACTCAAACCAAACTTAACACAAATAAATAAAAACAACCACAAATAATAAAAACAAAGCTTTCCAATGGAGAGGAGTATCATTGGGGAGTTGCCAAACCAACAACAGGCGCTCCACAAGCGCTACCCATTGTTGTCACTCAACATGACACTGGCAACACCATTAGATGCACCACGCCATAATAGGGACGAGACCTCAAGATAACAGGGACGTTGGCACGACCTGAACGCTGCCCATAATAGCTAGCACCCTCACTCTATTTGTCTCACAATTAGTACCTATACCTCACAATTAACAGCAAACACCTCCCTCGCTACTATTATAAGGCCAAAAAGACCATGGACGCTCCACGAGAGAGTTTCACGTATCCGATTGTGTTTAGAATTAATCATGTTTTTATTTTTTACGTTTTTCAAAAAAGAAAAAATGAAAACGTTTTTAAAATGGCGTTTGGCGCAATAAAAACAAAAAACAGAAATGAAAACGATTTTTTGATTTAGTGTAAAATGAGAGAGAAATGAAAAATGACATTTAGTCGTTTTTCATTTTTTGTTTTCATTTTCTCTTCTCTCGAGCAGAGAGAGAGAGAAAGAGAGACATTAATGGGTTTTTTTACACTGAAAACAATCTCTTGATAAAACTACCAAACGCATTTTCAGAAATGATTTATATTTGAGATTGAAAACGTTTTCATTTTAATTTTCATACAAAAAATAAAATCATTTTAAAACGAGTTCTAAACGCTCCCAAAGCGCTCTCTCTTATCTCTCTTCTTTCTAGTTTCTATGACCGGCTATTATGATGAACCAAATTGTGGCTTCTTACTTGCATCTTACGATAGAATACATGATAGTGTTTTACTTTCTAGAATTATATTGATTGGTAGGCCGGTTTTGATTAGTTAACCCTAAAAGTAGATCAAATACCTATAAACAATATTTTATATCTAATTACATTATCTTAAAAAAATGTGTTGACTAGGCAGTCGATTGGCACATTTCAATTATATTCATTTTACGGAAATTACAACCGTTTTTCTTTTAAGATGTGAAATAAAAGCACGATTTTTTAACGAAAATAAAAAAATGAAAGAGAAGATATAAAAGACCAACTACTAATACAGGAAAATATAGAGAAATTCTATATAGTAAAAGAGCATAAAGATCTATACTTTCTTAAAGGCTACAAGATTTCAATTCTCCAATTTTTTATTTATATATAATAATTTAAGAGGGAATAAAAATTTAAAAGAATGATATGAAATTAAAAATATGATCAGTTGAAAGGGAAAGTTTCTTTAATTTTCTCAATGATATCTAACTCCTTTTTTTATTATGCACATGCCCTTTTTATACACGTGGGTTAAGGGATTCAAGCTCAAGATCTCACTATAGAAGGTTGGAGTGTGAATTTATGGTTAGGCTAAGATTGTAAACCCAAATATATTTACTTTAAAGATTAGTTCTACAATCAATTTTTTTTTATCAGCCAATGAGCAAATAAGATGTTGTCTTGAGTATCTAGTCGATTTAAGTAGATTGAAAACATCAACGAGAAAATAAAGTACATAAAATAAATAAAGAGACAATACGTAAATTTATAATAGTTCTGCTGAGATTTCATTATTATATAGAGAAAGTTTATAGTACACCGAGAATAAGAATGTGGGGAGTAAAGAGAGGGGATATGCATAGAATAATGGAGAGAAAATGGATGCCAAACTCATGGGAATGATCCTTTATTTATAGGGACCCTTTTACTCTTCAAGTTGTTCTAATCTTATAGTGATTTGTTTTTCAAGATGGGTGGAAATTGCCTTATTTGCTCCAATTAATTACTTTCCTTTATGCGTTTGTCTTATTTGTGTTTGGAGCGTTCTCCTTTAGATCGGATCTGGTTTTTGATTTCTTTGATGTAGGCAATTTGGAGGTTGCTATTTTAGAAGGTTTTTCTCCTATATAGCCGCTCGGATTATGGTCACATGCTCCAATCGGGTGGTGGCTTCTGGTCAATTTTTTCGTCATCTAAACGATTCAACTAATATAAGTGTATGATGAGAAACGTGATAAGAAATCTAATCTCAACACTTATTATTCGATTTTTAATTGGATGGCCATCGCAATATACGATGTCTAATTATGTTTATGTAAATTAAGCTCAATCTTTCTATAAAAAAAAATAGTATATTCGAGAACCAACTTGTAATTTGAGACGTTGAATTTATAAATAAAAACTCCATTAATTCACCCTATATTCGACTATTAGGATTTCAATCTCTAATTACTTTTTTTTTTTTTTTTTTTTGCAACTTGCAAGTGGCCCCCGTGACATGAATTTTTGCACGTACATTACGGCATTAAAAATGATATGGAGCTATTGCACTCAATTTATCATTACCCTTCTTCTAGTGTGCTCATATTTATTATTTCGTTTCTACATTAGAATTCCTTTTTTTTTTTCTAACTTTTTGTGACGATGTTTATGTTATTTTCTCATCAACATAGAAGAAAATTTTCCTCGCAGTGGACCACATTACAAGCCCCAACTATTCTTTGTAGTTGAGTATAGTCAGAACTCGGAAGGATTAGTCGGTCCAATCCTTGAAACTCCATTGCACCATTGACGTCTATTAAACTCCAATCCTGAAAAAGATGATAACACCATTAATATTTTCGTGGGATATGTTTAATATTCTACCGGAATATTGTTTTTTTTTACAGGATATTTTTCAGGAAAAAAACCAAAAGTATCATTTAAAGTGGTAAAAATATTATTTATTCCACTTCAATTTAAAATAAATAATTTTTATTTATATAATAAAAAGAAAACAAAAGTCATGATTATACTCAACTATTTAAAATGATATAAATAAGTGATCGGCATAAAATCATGATAAATGATGTACTTTTCTCTATTATTTATATTCTATCACTATTTTTTTAATGACATAAAGAATACAATGATACAAAATAATGGTTATTTTTATAATTGTTTAAAAAATATAACCCCTTCGGCATACATTTTGTTAGTACTCAATCACATAATTCCAGGAAAAAAAAAGAAAGAAAAAAAAAAGGAATGACTAGTCATTATAAGAGCAA